TACCACAGCCCCATTTCCCAGCAGATCTCAGGTAAGTTGTCAAACTGTTCTTAAACGGTTTGACTACTTACTGTGGGAGGGGGTCCCGGCACTGTTGACACCATAACCACTACACTGAGCTGTAGTGGTTATTGTGTCTGGATTATTTCTTTAAATAATCTACAAGTGCCCCTCCCGAGATCAGGCTCTGGATCCGCCACTGACCTCCTCTCACTAGGATCCTGATTCTAGGGATGCCAGAGTTGGAGGTATGGGGACCACATCACCTAAGCTGAAATATAGGCATATTACCAGCTGGACCACACAGAAGCCACTCAAATGCTGTTGCTGGAATGCCTCAACGCTGATACATCCAGAAATAGCCTGGTCTATCTGACTGCAGTGATATCATCTTTCTAAAGTGTATGTCATTGATAACCAAGTGTAAATGGACCATAAGATATATTGTATGTTGTTGGTCACAAAGGGGTTAAAATGTTTCTATGAGCTGTAGATAGATATATCTATATATACAATAATTTAAAGATCTGAAAATAGGTATCTGATTTTTGCATGAGGAGTGGGCATAGTTAAACAGAGTTTATAGCCAGAATTTTTTTTTTACTAAAATGTTGTTTTAGAAATGTTTTACAATTTTTTTTGTTAAATAATAATATTTATAAATTGGGATTTCAAATAATTCAGTTTTAGATTGTTATCCACTTGCTCAGTATGTGCTCTCAAAAATTGTACAATATTTGGCATCATTTTTTTTCTTTCTGCCTGAAGGCACTGCCATTTTCAAAATTTTAGCAGAACCACATAGCAAACTAAAATTGTAATTAATATTGCGCTAACTTTATTAAAGAAATATTTACAGATTAATTTTAATTTACCTACTTGCACAGGGCAACGCACACAAATGAGTTAATCCATACAGTTCATATGGACAGTGCACGCATATAGCACTGGTGATTTCACTCTCCAAAGGCATCATGAGACAGGTTTGTCACGCAGAAGCCAGAAGTCCAGCAGGAGTAAGTAATGTTTTTTATTCAGCCCAATAAATGTTGCAATAGCATATACTGGGTTGAAGGAACAAGAAACAGATTTTTTTCTGAAACTGACACTGCTGCTTTACATTATGGTTATTTTTTTATTCATTTTTTTTTCTTTAGCTTTTTTTTAGGTGCCTAATGGAAAATATAGATAATTATGTGGAACATCGACTTAACCTTTACTCTGTTTCAATTTCAATTTCCTTGGCGAATTGGTTTGCATCTGGCCACATCTTTCTTAGGTATGATATTTATTTTTCTTGTCTCTTCATGTTCGCAAACTTATGCTTCACCTTATTTAATCTTTTCTTGTACTATTACTTGGCACTTCTATTGGAATCTCTATTTATTGAGTCTGATGGACTGATAGACTTCATCATTAGTTATGGTGATGAGCTTTTGCCAAAGACATGCATTCACATGTGTTACTACATCTACAATTAGACATTGCAGCCATTTATAAAACCATTCAAATGCATTTAGAAACTGAAAATGTCAAGTTTATAAACAGGCTGATGCACAGAGAAATACACTGGGTAAGCAAGGTTGGTAGGGATCACAACTTATCATATGGGTAATGGCGCACAAAAAGTCAATGTACAATGAGCTTTTTAGAAGGGGTAGTCCACTTGGATGTATACTAAACCCAGGGCACTAGGTTCCTTCTAGTTGTTATTCATGGTACAGATAAAATACAAATTAGTATATACATTGCTAAAGTTACCTTTGGAACCTTAGATGCCATGAATAGTTTTTGCCGTCATGCTCTGCAAGGCTAGTGAAGATGTCTGTGCCCTTCTGGACACAAGCTATGAATATGTCACCCAGCATATCAGGCTTCTGCAGCTCACAAGAAAAAAACCAAAAAAACATTAGGCAGCATGATCCCATTGCAGCGCATGTACCTGGATACTCAGCTCTTATACGCCCTACTTCAACCTGACTCTATCTACCTATTTATGTAATGAAAAAAAAAAAAAATTATATATATATATATATATATATATATATATATATAAATGTAGAAACAACTGCACTCCTGGGAATTCCGTAGTTAATACAATTTAACTTTTATTTAATCCATATAAAATATCAATAAATGTTTCAGCTCCACCATGAAGCTTTCATCAGGACAGATAACAAACTTCAAATGTACAGACATGAAGATATATACCCCCGAATTCCCCCACAATCAAGAAAAAGTAAACACCCACTTGTACTCACCAATCCAGTGCCCATCTGCAACACCACTGGCCATGTCGTGCTCCCACTCTGCCAATGCAAAGCATGCCATAGGCATAAAGAGGAGGTGGGAGTGAAGCACTTTCGTTTCACCCTGTAACCTAGGAACATCTGGAGTGCATGTTGAGCCAGACTGCTGCCATGGCTCCAGACTTGACCACAACTCCCATTTTCCTCAGCCAACTATGTTGTGTAGTGTCAGAGTATTTATATCGGCAGACATTTTGTGCTATGATAGAAATTAAAAGTGTATATTCTGAGTCACTCTGAACAGACCAGACTCCATTTTGTTATTCCAAATTAACAAAGAAGACACTAGATTTCTTTCTGTAAGACTGGCCTCTTTGCCAGAGCTAAGGAATGCATAGTATAAACAAGTGATAAGGAAGGGGGTTGGACAGACTGTCTAATGCTAAAAGAATATAATCAAATCTAAACCCAGACAATTGTGACAGAGAAGATTAAATAAATTTAATATTTAACTGTCTATATATATAAGGTACCATTGTATGGAAAAGGGTAAACTTAGTTCATGATCTGTCATATCAGAAATTATAGCAGATTTGCAGACACATAGTCTGGACAAAATTTAAGAACCCCTTTGATCTTTGAAGGATATGTAAGTTATAGCCACTATCTAGATAGGCCAAAATGACGTCAAAATAGTCACCAGGAAAAGTTAACTCTTTCCTGGATAGGTATGTTTAGTGGGACAAGACTGCCCTCTACAGACCAAATACCTAATTTGCGATCTGGAAGATAACCACACCTCTAGTGCTTCTATTGGGTTATCAACTGATGACGTACAGGGAGTCTGGCCCTTTAAAAGTTAAGACAAAGGGAAGATAGAGATATGCAGACGAGAGAGGGAGGCAAGAGATGCAAGATATGCAAAGGAGAGGAGAGAGGAATTGGAAGTTTGGGGACTCCAACTCGGACAACATCTGAGACTAACACTCTACTCCTAAAACTCTAACACTTAGAATTTACTGACTTTCACCAACACCTCCATGCAGAGAGACTACCAATCGGATGAAATATCTACTCAACTGGTAATTATACTGGTTTCATTTAATTAAATTAAATTAATTAAAATGTATTAATAGCATTATATATGACTGGATAAAGCACGGTCAGATTTCCATATTAAGAAATCTTAGTTAACTAAGAATATATAGTTATAAACATTCCATTCTGCAGGTGGAATTAAGAATAATTATATATTGATGTGATATTATCACGTGTTAGCATACCGCTGTTTTTATCCAGGTGTATTGATTTGCTCTAAATTAAGATAGATATCTTTTAGACAAATTAAAATCTGCTTATATAATGTTAGATTCTCTTATTGGATGGTTTAAGAAAATGAATTTAAACTGGTTTAAATGTTATTTTATTTAAAAATTACATAAGAATAGATCTTAACTACCTAGGAGATCTAGCCAGCATTGAAAGGGTTATTCTAACTGTCTGCTAAACTTTACGACCTTACGCTGCACTCTGAGGAATTCTGTTCTCTGTGTGAAAAGTTTCACTTTCAGTCTGTGGAAGCTAGTCATAAATCGTCAGAATTCTTGACAGATAATGCTATTTAGCCATTGTAACGTAATACCCATTCCTTTGTATTGCATATAATTTTGTACTGGATATTCATTGATTATTGTTATGCATGTTACATAATATTATTTGTTAATTATTGGTTATCATAAATAAAATCTATTTTTATACATTGTGATATTATTATATGAAATACATTCCACTTAACA